GTTCATCGTAGTACGTGGGATACAACTATTCGAACTCCACGGATGTTCGTGTTGCCTACGCACGTGATTGAAGGCGTTTTGACGCTCCAGGCACTCACCGCGTCATGTCACCCGCAAAGCAGCTCAGCGCGCAGCCGCGCAACGAGTAGGATCAAAAAAGAAAAAGCATCTCCAATTCTTCGTTTTTACTACAAAGCCATCTTGCACATAGATGTAGGATGTGATAACTCTAGTGTTTCAGTTTTGATATCGCGATGAGCTGAGCATAATTAGTAGAGCAACAATTCGTGCCCAACGGATGTCTTTGTAGTATAAATGAAAAGTTATCGATACACGAATCATCTTTCGATCAAATTAGTCCATTATGGCTGTTGGCCACCACGAAACATTCTCCTTCGATTAAAATGGAGTGCCATTATTCATCATTTCGTGCAGCGCGGAGTATTTCAGCCAAGTTTTCATGTTGCAATGATGCGGAGTAACGAATTGATAAAATGACTGACGACTTCCGACACATACATGCATGGGAATTGGTTCCGGGATTCGATCGTCTATCGAGGCCTAAAAATGTAAGGAGCTTTGAATATTCGCATAGTGCTACTTGTCTTTGCGTTGCGCCGCTCAAACGAGGAGTGCTCGGAGAATCAAAACGCCTTCACATTTGGGCATATGCATCATGCACATCCGTGGAGTTCAAATAGTTGCATCCATGAGTTGATATGAAGTAGATCAGTGTTCGTCGCATATGATACTAACTCAGAGGTTTCTGATTGTTTCTTTACACCTTAACTTACAATTAACAGTGCCTATTTTGTCGAGGGAGTAAGCTGCCACTGATTTTTATCGCGGCATTGTCAATGTTCCGTAAAATACCTTGAGTGCTAAATGTGCCACCAAAACCTTTTGGAATGTGGGCTGCGCCCTCTACAATGGAGTTGTTGCATGTGTGAGGAATTTCCGAATTGACTATTGATTCTTCCGTAAAAGTTCGCGAGAAACTACAGGGATACAACTGTTTGAACTCTCCGGAACGCGTGAGGTACCACGCCTCAATTGAAGAAGTTTTCGAATCTTCTGTATATACATGACGAGATTATCCAATTTATTTTTTGCATTTTATTGTAGATTTGAGTTCCTTTTATTATTTAGTTAAATTACTCCTTCTCTTTAATTTTTAATTATTCTGCAAGAACTATCCATTTGCGAAATACAACCTTGGTTTTAGCGCCCCTAAACCACAGCCTTAACGGTCGAAACTACGGTAGCGGCACAGGAAAACCGAAAAACAACTCGGGGACGCTACTACAATATTAAGCTTCCATCGCCTTGCTAAGACGCAGGGATACAACTATTTGAACTCTCCGGAACGCATGAGGTATCACGCTTCAATTGAAGGCGTTTTCGAATCTTCTGCATTTACATGACGAGACTTTCCAAATGGTTTTGCATTATATTGTAGATTTGAGTTCCTTTTAATATTTAGTTAAATTACTCCTGCTCTTTAGTTTTTAATTATTCTGCAAAAACTAAACACAATCGAAATACAACCCTGGCTTTAGCGCCCTTAAACTACGTTAGTTTTTTGCATTTTGTTGTAGATTTGAGTTTCTTTTGTTATTTAAGTAAATTATTCCTGCTTCCTAATGTTTAATTATTATGCAAAAATTTTCATTTTGCGAAATACAATCCTGGCTTTAGCACCCTTAAAATACGGGCCTTACGGTTGAAACTACAGTAGCTGCACAGGAAAACTGAAAAACAACGCGAGGACGCTACTTCAGTATTAAACTTCCATCGTCTTGCTAAGGCGCAGAGATACAACTATTTGAACTCTCCGGAACGCGTGAGGTATCACGCCTCAATTGAAGGCGTTTTCGATTCTACTGTATTTTCATGACGAGACTTTCCAAATGGTTTTGCATTATATTGTAGATTTGAGTTCCTTTTATTATTTCGTAATATTATTCCTGCTTCTTAGTTTTTAATTATTCTGCAACAATTATCTTTTTGCGAAATTTAATCCTGGCTTTAGCGCCCTCAAACTACGGCCTGAACGGTTGAAACTGCAGTAACGGCACAGGAAAGCCAAAAAACCAAGCGAGGACGCTGCTTCAATATTAAACTTCCATCGCCTTGCTAAGGCGCAGGGATACAACTATTTGAACTCTCCGGAACGCGTGAGGTATCACACGTCAATTGAAGGCGTTTTCAAATCTTCTGTATTTACATGACGAGATTTTCCAAATTGTTTTGCATTATATTGTAGATTTGAGTTCCGTTTATTTTTTAATAAAATTATTCCTGCTTCTTAATTTTTAATTATTCTGCAAAAATTATCTGTTTGCGAATTTACAATCCTGGATTTAGCGCCCTTAAACTACGGCCTTAACGGTCAAAACTGCAGTAGTGGCACACAGGGGCGGACTGGTAGTCGAAAAGTTAGGAGGAGACCTAAACGTAAGGGCCCCTCCTGTCGTTTGGGGGCTCCTCTTAAAAGGTCCGGGGGCCGTCCCCCGGAAAATTTTACACTCTTTAAACGCAATTTAATCATTATTGAAGTTAAATTCTACAGTTCTTGAACTTCAAAATAACCAATTCTCAGGATTCTTCGGGGGTCCCTTCATCATAAATAATTTTGGCGACCTTCCAGGTCTCTTAGAGACGAATTTTCAAGCAATTCGGGGCCTTTTCGTGATTGAAAAGGATAAGAAAATTACAACATTACGGGAAAAAAACGCTGACTCGAAAAAAATTCGCCGCGGGGGCGCCTTCGGAACTTCCGCGGCAAATTGTTAGGGGGCGATCGCCTCCCCGCCCCCATGGCCAGTCCGCCCCTGTGACGGTGTATTAAAAGGAAAATGCCTAAATTTCCTCGAATAAAATCCTGAGAAAGTCGTTGAAAAAATCATGCACAGCACTCTCTCGCTGTAACGAATCGGCAAGGGACCGAACGGGTTTTCGTTATGGAGAGATTTTCGTTATAACGAGTGTCGCTCAACGAAAATACGGTGGCGTGCGGAAAAAGATGAAAATTCCGAGCGGAAATGGACATAACGGAAAAAAGAAGCACGGAGCAATAAAATACTGAAACTTAACGTCATGTTAGCTTAGACGTAGCCCTGCCACTCGTGCTTTAGGTAATTTTCCGCCAACACATTTCTCGCCTTGGAAACGGAGGGTTTTGTCTGGTAAGGTTTTTAAGAAAATGCCTAATTTGTCTCCATTAAAAATATTTTTGGCGTCGCATCCCTTTCTTATGACTAGCCACGTGTCTTCTAGCCACCGTTTCGTGATTTCATTGTTGACTGCTCTGCCCTCGCTATTGATTTGACCGAAGGTAATGCCGTGTCGATTTTTAAATTTAGACAGCCACCCTTCTGACGCTTGAAAATTCTTTACTCCCAGTTTAGGTGCAAATTCCTCGGCTTTACCTCTAATTATGGGTCCGATAATCGGAAAATTTTCGTCATAGAGAACGTCGCTCCGTTGGCACTTTCGTTACATCGGGTGAAAAATACGTGTAATTAACATAGGAAGTTCAAGGGACCGGGTGATTCCTTCGCTGTAGAGAGATTTTCGTTATAACGAGTGTCGTTATAGCGAGAGAGTATTGTAAATGCTTCTTCTTAAGTTTTCCTACATCCCAAGTAGCGTTTTTCAATGTAAAAGTTGAAAAAATGTTGGTATTAGTTGCAACTTTCGGTCAACTTTCGGTCGATAAGTGCCGATTTTCGGCGATCTGATCGGAAGACAAAATTGCAACCTGCTGAAATTACAAAATTGCTGTACCAAAGTTGTTGAAAATCTGAAGGTAGACAACCAGCAGTACTTTAAAGTTGAAACATGTTTCAACTTAATTGCAACTAGTTCCGACAATGATAGCTCCCTCGCGGGAGAGAGTAGGCAATCTGCACATCAATCTATTAGTTGCAAGAATCAAACGATTTTGTTGCAAGTTGTTGCAACCTCTGCTTTTTGGGATTTGGGTTTTTGCACTTTTAAGCAATCCTCACAAACATGTGCGTTAAAATTTAGCGCATGAGTTTGCCCGGAGGGAATTTTTAGTGTATTTTAATGGTGACAAAAGCTTGCTCTCAAAATGACGAATCCCTGCGTTTTGAAAATACTTATTGGAAAACTCCGACGAAAATACCTACCTAACAAAAATGACCTTTTAAGCAATTTTTCAAACACTCTAAAAATCCTGTTAAAATGTTTGTATTAGGAGTAAATTTTGGGCTATTTTGTTAAAGTAAAATTGACAAGAAGTAAAAAAGGGAGAAAAGGTTAAAGAAAACTCTTAAAATGTTACTCTAGTTTATGAACATTTTTTTCAAACATTTTTAATGTTGAAACCACAGTTGATATTTTAAGAGTTTTTTGTTTTAACACTTTCTCACTAAAATTTTACCGCTCGTAAATTTTACTTAAAAAATACGCAAGATGAGACTACTAAAACTAACATTTAACAGATTTCTTAGGAGTTGTCTTTTTAAAGATTAAGGGTTTTTTATTAGAAGTTTTTTTAACAGCCGTTTACCATGGGAAAGTCAATGTTTTCCCATCGAGGTTTGATGGTCCGTTGTGGGAGAAGAATGTCGTTTCCGGAGTGAACTCAGCGGAAGAAAATCTACCTATTTCACATATCAAATACGACCGTGACTGTCGTGACTCTCTTCATGATAAACTCTGAACACCCTGTATACTGTGCGAGTAAAATGGATTGAGAAGAGAACAATATTGCAACCAGCCGCAGCAACGCTCACACCTTTGTTGCCCGTGCTTTTTTACATATTGTTATCTACAACTTCGTAGTTCCCGCAGGTGAGATAAAAAATACATGAACCGGTGTAATGAGAGAGAGGGGAAGGGAAATGCACTCAAATGCAGCTGAGGGAGGTGGAAGGGAAGAATTACTCCGACAGAGCGCGCCACAAGCGCAACGATGAGGAAAGAAAGACAGCGAGCCCATCGCATGGTGTTCCATGGTCCTTCCTCTCTCATCTTTTTCCCGCAGTTCGTTTTTGTCCGGTCCGCGGAGCGCTTTGTGCAGCGACGTGCGTTCTCTGAAGAATCAATTATTGTGTACACAAATTCATTATTTGCTTTATTTTAAGTACAATTTCGCCGCTTACTTTCGCTGCACACGTTGTTTTTATTATTTTATAGCGTAGCAAGTGATTTCGGCCGCTCTAAGTCGTTCCATTCGTGTCTTTTTATTGAGAATCGATTCGGGTGTTTTGGTTATGTGACTGTGTTTCGTTAGAAGCCTTGTTTTGTAAACACGGACTCGTTCGTTGAAGCCGTCTAGTAATTTCCATTAATAAATCTCTTCTGTATCATTTAATCAGTGTGAATCAGTGAAGTTAACTCCATAGAAATCTGCATTCAATCTCTGTCTATCATGAGCTGCTCGCTCTAACCCTGTGGATTCAGCGACTAACCTGTAAGCATGTTTGATTCTTCACAACTCTACTAGTCTGAGTGTATTATATTTTCTGTTTACATCATCTCATATTGAAAGAGCTGAACCCCATTTGATCAGTCTTATTTGTAATATAAAGGGAGGGTTTACCTGCTGCTCCTCATACTGAGACCTAACCTCTCACTGCGGTAATTCATTCTACGCTCCGCAATGATGCAGGATACTTGCTTTTACCTGGCATTACTGGAAATAGTTCACGCTATTTTTCTCTTGATACCTCAACAGCGCGGGTGTCAAAATGTAGAGGAGACTTGTTAACAAGTTTCTAAATATCTTCCTACTCGCAAGCAGTTAATCAAACCCGACTGAAAGATGGTGCGTTTGCTGTCATAATTTCAATCCAGTTGCGTCTTGAAAGATCGCACATCCACTCGACCATGCATTTATTGCAGGAAATCAGCTGATGGATGCGTAATTAATGTACAAGCGTTTGTAGAAGCTGTTCGCCTCCTCATATTCCCTTGCATTTAGTAGCGGTTCATTGCCTGTGCCGCTTTTGTTTTTGAGGTGACATCTCGCTAATTTTATAGATAGATGCCCAACGAAGCTGGGCTGGTGACCAACCGCTGATGTTCGCAATCAATCTACCTCTCAGTCTCGGGGGTTGAAGTTTACTTTGCTGAACTGCCAGGATGGTCAAGAATACTGAGTAACTAACACCGTTACAATTTAATAGCCGATGTAGTCTCAAATTGTAACGCTGATGAGCAGTTTATTGATTTGAAAGATACATTTTTGGCTTGAAATCAATGGGTATGTTAAGGGTGAGCTCATTCAAATAAATTTTACTGTAAAGAGCTACGCTCTTTTAGTTACCATTCTTCAGGAGGCATTATTATTAAAGCCAACGCCATACAAGTTTACGTTCTTCAAGGATGCAACAGAGGATCAAATGTCTCCAGCTGAGCATTGAAAATAAACAGAAGAGTTGTCATGGCAAATCTTTGCTTGCAATCTGCAGCGCTTCAAATTATTTGGCATGGACGCTAATTGGATTGCATTTTGCAAAAAGGAACCAGGATCATTGCATTGTTACAAAGATTGTACAACTTCTTACATCTTGGGAGAGAAACCTGATTATCCACTGACAGTGGACTGTGTTGTGATGAGCCCTTTCTGTCTGTCATTCCAATTTCCTACAAAATTAGAGAAAAAGTTAAACACGTCAGTTCTCTAGCTGATTCGTGCGATTAACTGCTAGGTACTACCTATTTGGAGTTGATGTGAATTATCATATCATGAGAAATTTGATGTCTAAATATTTTTCTTTGCGAATTGTTTATTAAATTTTTTTAATCGTAAATCTCAAGTAGCCAAAAACCTAGTAGAATTAGGAAAATACCCTAGGTAGTTCTACAACTTAAAGTTTATTTTTCATCAGAAGATTTTTGAAGACTAGTCCGAAGTACTTTTGTCGGAGCAATATCTCCAAAGCAGGTACCATTACCTAATTGACAAGAAAGAAATGAGAGCAATTTTCTCTCTGAGCCCCCCCCCCCCCCNCAAAATTGCCAGATTTTATCACTCAGTACCTACTTTTCAGTAAAATTTCAGAAAATTCAACCATTCTTCAAGGGAAATATCTTACGAAGATCATTCAAGTTGCTCATCTCATTGTAGCAGAAATAAAAGAAAATGAGATCATAAAAGAAAAGATAAATTGTCCTCTCAAATTATCAAGATTATCCCTCTTCCAATAATGAGTTTCATAAGTTTTTCGTGTGTGTCCCCCATTATATTTTTTTGATTTTTCCTTAAGGACATACCCAGCTATACCAAGGGCAGTCCTCCAGTTGCAACTCATATTCGATGAAGTATCATTTTGAGCTAAAGAACGTGAACTATGCAGTGGGCCTTTTCTCAGGTCACTTCGTGCCTAAAAGGCGATTTGACGTAAAAGTAAGAAGATTCGATCCCTGATCTGTAATCCCTTTTAAAATGCATGGAAACATTTACAAATCCGCTTTGGAAGCACTCAAGTTGGTAATGAGAGGCAACACTGCATCATATTATAATACTAGAAAGAAATGACACAGCATTTATGAATTGCGCACCGTCAAGTGTAAACGAGTGAAAAATGCCGTGCTTACACCTACCGAGCGTGCAGAAATTCAACGGATCATCACAAATAAGTGTGTCCATGAGAAAAATCTTATTGTTGAATACTTCCTTTGATCTGCTATTCTAGATCTCAGTTCACCTTTCATTACAGATATCTCACTAGGTATACTCAAGTCTGTTCTTATGATTTTTTTTCTCCCAGACATCAGCATCAGGGTTGTCACAGTCAGGGAAAACCGGGAAATGTCAGGATATTTTAAAATGTCGGGGAAAACCTGGAAATGTTAGGAAAAAATCGTCAGTCAAGTCACCTTTACATGCTCTCTCGATTGGGTTTGACGTATCGAACAACAAATGCCAAAAGACTATTTTTAACTATGTGTTTTTTAAAATCTGGCATTTGTTCAATTTTGAGGGAATTTCACCAGAATCAGGGCGTCTACAAGTCCGGAAGTAGTACTGATTTTTCAAGGGCGGTCTGGGAGTACTGAAAAAGTGCGGAAATTCCGCAAGAAGGTCCGGACTTTTTCACTTTTGTTGCAATTTTAGCGAGGTATTCAAATTTTTGAATATTTTCAAATTTCGTCAAATATTTGGAGGTACCTACTGAAAAAGTACTGAATTTTTCTGTTGAGGAGGTACTGACTTTCTTGGGAATGTTCTGTAGAAGCACTAATATTTGGCCAGTCTGTTTTAGTAGACACTAGACACCCTGAAAATGTGTCAGGGAATTTACTTAATTTTCCAAATTCTGTGGCAATCCTGCAGCATGCATCAGAGTAACGTAGACAAAAATCGGGTACTTTTTCGCCCTATCGGTCGTAGCGGCATTATGCAGTTAATCGAAAATTGGACTATCCACGCTGTGCATACTGGGATCTCTGGATAAGGATTCATATAGCTAGATAGGTAGTTCATTTTCTTGTTGGTCAAGCAATTCGTTGCGCGCGAAAACACTTACAAAAGCAAAACATTGGAGAAAATGCCGAGGTGAAATTCCTATAGCTTCTAGACAGTCGGGTCAGTCTAAGAGGTATTGGAAATTCTCGAAACCCCTCCGATTGAAACGCACCGACACTTTGAAAATCCTAAATTCAGAGTCATCAAAATGCTGATTCAAAACGGCTTCAAACGGCCGGTTTTTGTTGAATCAGCATAATCAGCAATAAATGAACGCGCTTCATTGCTAATTGTTTACTTCTCGATTAGAACAATGGATTTTGTATCAATTCTGCCACTCCGGAGATTCCTACTGGCGCCTCATCTTCGTTGACCTCGATTCGTGAAATTATGAAAATCGAGCAGGTGCGACTTTTCTCATATATTGTTTCCTTTTTTACTTTTAAATGTGATGCGAACATTTGGTCGCTGTCGTCTCGGTATTTTGAAAGCGAAGCTCTAAATGGAAACAAGACATAACTTTTGATTGATCAAAAGTTCAAACGTGTGTAGAGAGAGAAGAGAAGCCATGAAAATTTTGCATTTCTAAACCGTTGTTCCAAACTGGTTGAGTCTGCGAGAGAACCATTTGGGCATCAAGTTGAGTCTGCAACTGATACAGGACCGCGAATAGATCGTTATCAAATCAATCTAACCAATTTTGGCAGATGGACATCACTTGGAAAGGAAGTTTGTTATTGGATCGTTATCAAATCAATCTAACCAATTTTGGCAGATGGATATCACTTGGAAAGGTAGTTTGAATATTTGCCACTGAACTCGAAAAGGATCGTGCTCGGAACCATGTTTTGTGCCTTATCTTAATTTTTGCGTCTTTAAATTGTTAAATACCTATCTGAATACGAAATGGACTACATTTTGCAATTGGGGACCGCAATTTCTGGCTAAGTTTAGAAACAGCATATCGAGGGTGAAACTACCAGACCAGGTATCTTGTTTGCGGTGTTAAAAAATCTCCGCTCCTATCTTATTTTTTCGAAGGAGAACAAAACGCTATATTTCTTGAAATTTTCACTGAGTTTTCGCCGAACAGGGAAGAAGAATCAGGGAAGTTTTCAAGAATTAACTTTGAGTAAAAAATTAAGCATGACAGGAAATCTCCAGCGTCACAAACCGAGATACATGATCTGGTACTTTCATCGTCGATATGTGCTGTTGGTTTTTCAATGGAGTTACATGCTTTTGTGGGTGAGCAAGAAATCGTAGTTTCTAGTTGCAACATGCAGTCCCAAATTTTCTTCATTTGATTATGGGACAAAGTACTCAGTGAAATGGGCGTAAATCTTGATGCTAATTTCGGAAATTCCACTTGAATGATAGTAGCACTCCTTCGCATGTAAGCATTATGACTTATTTTGTGAATTTTTTTCCCCCCACAAATGAGTATCTCAACCATGCATGGCCCGAAAAGTTAGAAGTCCTTCCAATACGAGGTCCACTCCAGATCGTTTAGGAAGCGGTTTTAGGAGTGGATGAGATCAGACTGGAAAGCCATAAAAATATGAAAAGGTATAAATCTAGAGTAAAAATATGTCGTATAAGTCGGACGAACTCGAAATTCCACAGCCTGCAACCGTGATACGCTGATCCGTCACTCGACATTAAACCGTTGCCCAACGCTGCCTTGCTATGAAAAAACGCCGTATGAGCATACGGTTGTTGTCAAATTCCCCCCAGCGAAAAACGGATTTTCTTAGTATAACGATTGAACTTTCGTCGTTGCATTTTGGGGGGTTTTTAGCGACAATCCCATGTATTGTATGCAAACATTTAAAGTAAAAATATTCATACTTAGATTCCCCCAAAACTAATAATATGTGAGAGGAAACTTGGCGGTAATCGCATGTTCACACGAAGTATTTCCTCAGCACTGCGACCGCATCTGAGTTGTTAAATCGTTATGAAACAACCTTTATCGATAGATGACGTCGCTAAGATAG